TCTTGACTTCTCATCCATTCATATATACATTTATACAATGCATCTATGGGCAGCACTTTTTTCTGAGGACACTTAGGCATACAGAGTAGGAAGGACTGGGATCAAACTGCTGGCATTCTGGTTAGAGGACATCCTGCTCTAACCCTACAGCCGCCATACACTCATTATTTCATTATAATAACCAGTCTGACAGAGACAAGTGTTCCCTGTCACCCACCCCCACTGCTCTTTTCCACCGAGCACTCCTCTCTCCCCCATTTTTCTCTGCTCACCCCAACCAGTCGAGGCAGATGGCCGCCCACATTGAGTCTGGTTCTGCTAGAGGTTTATTCCAGTTAATGAGGGAATTTTTTCTCTCCACAGTCGCCAATGCTTGCTTGTTGTGGGAACTGTTGGGTTCCTCTATAATATTGTAAGGTCTCACCCTGAAGTACCCTGAAATAATGTAACAGTGAACAACACAGAGGAATTTGACTCAAACTTCTAATGATCAGACAATAGTAAGTGAGTAAACCACCATAAAAAGCTGCACGACATAGTCAGAGCTTCCCACATGCTGCAACTGAATGTAACATCTGTTTGCGTTGTTTGTCTTCCTCTTCAGCTGTAGGCTGGAACTCAAAAAAGAGGAACTTCTTTTCTTGATCACATGAACATTCATGCAAAAGCAGAAGTGACAGTAGAAATAGTGCTCCAGCAATGACATGGCATATCAGCAAGCCATATCATTTATACAAGGCTTCAGTGGAACATTTTGTCAATCTTTTTGGGAAGGCTTGGTCTCCCATGGCCCTATATTCACACTGCCTCTGAATAAGACCAAGTGTTTTTGCCTGCTTACCTGAGATATTATCATTAAAGGTCCAGTGTGTAAGATTTAGGTGAAATTTAATGTAGAATAATCTTCATGATGTTTTCACTAGTTCTTTTCATCTAAATTCTATGAATTGTAGTTTTCTTTACCCCAGAAAAGACCCTTTATATTTAAATACTTATATTTATATTTACATCGAGTGGGGTTCCTACATAATGACGACGCCATGTTTTTTACATTAGTCCTGTCACAGTTTTGTATTTTCATTGTCCCTCTCCTGTGTTCCCCTCGTCCCTCGCTATGTTCCACCCGGTGATTCTCCTGTGTTGCTCTGTGTCCCTCTCCTGTGTTCATCCCTGTCTTGGTTATTGTATTTTGTTCTCGTTGATAAGTTTGTTCAGTGCTTCCTGTTTTATTTTGTAGTCCTTGCTCCCTGTGTGTTTTCACCTGTTTACTTCCTGCCCTCATCAGGTTCACCTGTTTGTCTTGTGCCACCTGTCCCCAGTTACTCATTAGTTCCAGTCTGTATATAAGTCTTTGTGTTTCCCCCATGTGAGGGTTGGTTCGTCATCGTCATTTCTGGTCTGGTCCTGTCCGTCATCGAGATTCTGGTTCTGTCTGTTCATGTGTCCCGTCAGCTCTCATCACGTTACCCCGTAAGTTTGTATCCTGCCCTGTCCTGTGTTTCCACTCCTGTTTTTTGAGTGCGACTTTTTGTTTTCCTGTAGAATTCTTGTTAAATAAATACACTTTTTGTTAAACCATATTGAGTTTCTGCGTTTTGGTCCTCCCCTTCTCACGTCACCCCTCCACTCGAACCCTGACAAGTCCAGACTGGACAAACTAAACACCTTTTGAGTTTTTATGACAACTGAAGTACAGTGTGTAGAATTTAGTGACATCTAGTGTTGAAATTGCATGTTGCAGCTGAATACCCCTCACCTCACCCTCCCCTTCCAAACATGTAAGAGAACCTATGGTAGATTGTAGATAGTTTGTCTACACATGGTGGCCTCCATAGTGAGGACCCCCTTGATTTAAATATAAAGTATTCAAATATAAAGGGCCTGTTCTAGGGTAAAAAAAAATCAATTTGATGAAACACACTAGTTGAAACCTCATGAGGATTATTTTATATTCACATTGTGCCAATAGATCCCTTTCACCTAAATCTTACACACTGAACCTTTAAGCCTGGTTGGAGGTCCGGCATTGTCCCTGTTCATAGCGGGTCCAACTTAGTATACACAGTCTGATGACATTGCGTCTCTTGTATCTAGGCAACACAGAATGTCTTGAAGGTACTTTCCACAATTTCGACTCTTCAGATTTTACCAAATGTTAAACAAAATAAAGACTGTGGTGCAATAACTTGAGAGAGAAAAATTAGAGAATGGTTTGGTAGAAATTGTCAACATATGTTAAGAAGACGAGTTTAATTGTCAGTTGTAAAGTCTTTAAGTAGTGTTATGCTCGCTATTGTAAGCCTTAACAGCTAGAAAGGATGCTATTGCTTGGCAACAACTTAATAATTATCATAATTGTAATTGAAATCTACGACAGAGTATTAGGGCCACATTTAAAAAAAAAAATTGGGGAATTAATTACGAGAATAAAGTGGTTATTAAATATGGTGAGAATTAATTACGAGATTAAAGTCATTATTAAATATGGCGAGAATGAATTACTAGAATAAAGTTGTTATTAAATATGGCGAGAATAAAGTCCAAAAGATTAAGTATCTCCTTGTTTGTGAAACCTATACTAAAGTGCAATTGCACGAAATGCTCCACCGCCCTCTCAGAGGTGCAGCAAAGGAAGGGTGGATGGTGTATAGCTGATGGCTCATATAAACCCACCAGATTATGTAATCACTGGTGTTCACATGAATGCTTTTTTGTATTTTTATTTAAAAACATTGAGGCCTACAATATTCAGAAAGAAAGCAATAATATCACATACACACACCCACTTGTATTTCTATGGCAACAGTTGCTGTACTCAAATATCCCCTGTGAAAGCACACTGTGTACAAGCAAATATACACATACATTCTGCATTAACCTTCATATTCAAATAAGATGTACAAGTGCAGCTATCATGACCCTTGGTCTGAGGGGGCTGTACTCTTGTGATAAAGAGCAGGCCCTGTGCAGGAACAGGGAAGGACAGTTATGTAGAAAATGGGGGAAGTGACAAAAACAGATAGGAAACAAAAGAAAAGTGAACATTGTACGACTTCAGCTGCAATACACATGTCTACAACACTAATATATAGTCAGTGAATTAACCTTTTCCTGTAATTAAAGATGTCACACCATTTTACACAGAAGTGGTGGTTGTTCGATGATTTCAACTCACCCGCAAGCTGATCTCCTTCATTCTTTCTTGCCGCAGTTTCGACAGATTGGCGACTCTTGACATTATGACAGCTCTTACTTTCTCACAATGACAGGTTCCACGCCGATTCAGGCAATCAGCAAGTCAGAAAATTCAATATCCAGTATTAATGTTTGCACTCTTCTCTGGATCCTCAGAAAGACTAAAAACTAAAACCTTTCCTCACTGGCCAACTGATGTGTGCTTCTGTTTCTAGTGAAGAGGCTGTTCCTGTGAGAAATATGACTTCTGAATCATCACCGCCCCCACACACACACACACACACACACACACACACACACACAAACAAACCCACACACACAGTGTTCAGCTCTCTATGAATGCCTGGTACAGACAATTATTTGCTCTTTACTACATCAGAAACCATTTACAAAGGACTTGTATTCTTTTGTTAGTTCATCAACACTTTCAGAGAACATATTTTTGTTGTAAGGATGAGAAAGAACATATGAGCTTCCTGCATTTGGTGGGTAACCCATCAATTTATATGGTTAATATTAATGTATTTACATTGATTTAATTAGTATAATAAGGTGTCTTACACACCACACTCACCATACTTAGTACAGTAAGTTCTACAGAATCATATATTCAGATATCTGACAAACTAGCTGAATAGTATTTGACAATACAATGGATGTAGATAGGCCCATCGCAGCCTCAGACCTAAGCCCAGTCAAAGATCTCGCCCTGTGTTTCTAACGCCACATCAAAATAGAGAGTGTGCTGCAGTGGACAAAAGAACACCGCAATATAGAGTATCAGAGACACAGTTTTATGAGGACTTGTATGAGGACGTCAGTGCTGCTGTGGCCAAGGGGTTAGCTGCCTTCAACAGGGTGAAATCCTCGCTCTTTCAGAAAGGAGTAAGGTTTAAAATCATTTACTATGCCTGCCTATGCATCACTTTCAACGGCGTGGATCACAGCTTTGACTCCCCAGAAGAGGCTGAGCTGTTTTACCAAGAACATTGTGGTAGTGGGGGTGGTTAGTGTCGGTGGCAGGAGGGAGAGAGTGGGCAGGTGGCTCAGGGATTGGTGCCAGGGAGAGAGTCTGATTGTGTACAGGTGTAATGCGTTGGCTAATGACTCTCTCCCCCCCTTATATCATCAGTAGCGTGCTGGGACACGAGAGGCCACACACACACATGAGGAGATGCTGGAGGCAACCCTGAGAAGCCCAGCTAAAGAACACTGAAGTATGCATGTGTAATGTGTGTGAAAAAGAATAAAAAAGGAAAGTTAACCGACCACGGACTTGCAATCATCTGTGACGGGGAACCTGCGGTGGCACGAGCGTGTTACAGTGGCGCCCAACGTCTATTAGTCTACAGACGAAAATGCAGGGAGAGGACCAGCCGGCGCAGCCAGTGCTCGGACAGATGCTGGGGGAGACGGTGGCTGCAGCCAGGGGGATCAGACGGGGAAAAAACAATGTTGGAACAGCTGGTGGAGGGTCTTCCAGACCAGACCCCGGCGTGGGTGCTCTACCACCGGCCAGCGACGCTGGAGGCGGCCGTGACACTGGCAGAGGACCACCTCGCGGTTCATCCCGGCAGTCAAGGGGGTGGCAGCCGCTCGCCCACGTCAACCGCCAGACCCCAGCCCCGCGCCGAAAACCCCCCCTGGCGGCGACTTTTCAGCGCGGTCAACCGGCACGCCACCCTAACCAAGCTCTTTATTGTCCCCCACAGGTCCCAGCTGCTACGGGGGCCAATCCCAACCTACCGGGGACTCCTCGAATGTCTGGGCAGGAGTGTTGGAAGTGCGAGCAACCTGGACACTTTCGTGAAGCGTGTCCTCTGATGGAGGTGGGGCAGGTGATTCGGGTTGCCGGCGCTGCAACACCCTCCCTCCATTCAGGAGCGACATACCGCATTCCGGTAAGGATTCAGGGGGGTGTACATTGGGCTATGGTGGATTCTGACTGCGCGCAGTCAGTGATTCACCAGAACCTGGTTCGACCCAGGGCATTGGTGGAGGCATGCTGGGTGGGTATTAAGTGTGTGCATAGGGATATTCACAAATACCCGTTATTGACAGTCGAAATTAAACATAAGGGAAAAAAGCATAAAATCAAGGTTGCGGTTAGCTCCCGTCTGACGTGGCCCCTAATCCTGGGGACTGATTGGCCTGGGTTTAACGCAGTAGTGGGGCAGTGTGCGGAGGCGCGTTGACGGCAGACAGGGACATATGACGTGTGTGCAGCGCTCAGTGGTGACGCAAGGTTGTCCGACACTGCAGATGGGGAGGGGGAACCTCCTCTGGAGGCACCGCTGGTACCCGAACTACACTCCATGGAGTGTAGTTCGAGCAGTCTCAGGATGATACTCTACGCTTTGCCTTCGGCCGCGTGATGACAATTGATGACCACAAGGTGCGCCCTGACTGAGAAGAAATCACCCAGTTGCTGGTGCCTAAAAGCCGTCAGGAAATGGTTTTCCAGGCGGCTCATTATAGCCCAATGGCTGGTCACATGGGGGTAGACAAGACACTCTTACATTTCCGAGTTTGCAGAAACAATAACACTGACAATTAACAAAGAAAGAACTCAGGGTGGACATGAGGCAGTCAAAGAAAAAAGGTTTATTTACAATTTAACTGATGGTAAATAACAAACGTAGGTTTGAAAGGGGGGGAAGGAGGAACTGTGGGGGTTGTGCCAAACAAAATAAACAAAGTACAACAAAATAGGGCCTAGCTCAACTATATCTGTAAGAAAGTAAAAAAACACAAAAGGCCTGACTATCTTATCTTAAAAAAGTGTCTGAAACTAATAAAAGTACATCAGTGGCAACAACCCATAACCTAGTGTACATAACAATTTCTTTCTACGTGTGAGAATGTATAGGGTACCCCAGCCTTACCTCAGTTCCACCTCACCACCACAAACCTTGCTTGATAGAAAGCAACAGAGGGAGAACAAAGCAAAAGAGAGGCTTTTAAAATGGTGCCCTCTGTCTCTGATTGGCTACTTGGCTGAAGTGTGAGCCATCCACAGATCTTCTGGAGYTGGCAGCCAATCTTCCACTTCTCACCTGCAGGACAAAGGGAGGAGAGAGCAAGGGAGAGAGAGACAGAGAGTCCCCTGCACACACACACACACACACACACACACACACACACTCAATACAGGTAACAGACACAAAACCGGATAATGACCCGATTTTATTGGCCAGGCATTCACAGGGACACTGGTGTGCGTCCTGCCGTGAATGTCAACTGGTGAATCATCCAGTGATTCCCAGAGTACCTCTGCACCCATTATCATTGATGGAAGTTCCATTTGAACGCATTGGTATGGACCTCATCGGGCCATTCCACCGGAGTGCACGAGGATATCGCTTTGTACTAGTCCTGGTGGATTATGCAATGCGATATCCCGAAGCAGTGCCACTGCGCACTATCTCGGCAAAAAGTGTGGCACAGGCACTGTTTCAGGTCATCTCTCGAGTTGGGATCGCGAAAGAAATCCTAACTGACCAAGGCACGTCATTCATGTCGCGAACACTAAGGGAACTGTACAGATTACTGGGCATTAAGTCTATTCGGACCAGCATCTACCACCCACAGACCGATGGGCTGGTTGAGAGGCTGAACAAGACATTAAAATCCATGATCCATAAGTTCATTCACGAAGTAATTGGGATAAATGGCTAGACCCCTGTTGTTTGCAGAGTTATCCCAGGCCTCCACAGGATTTTCTCCCTTTGAACCATGGACTTGCAATCATCTGTGACGGGGAACCCGCGGTGGCACAAGCATGTTACAAACATATACTATGTACATAACTTATAAAAGAATGGACTGAGGAAACTATGCTGCCCTCGACTCACTCGACTTTATACACTTGCAGGTGTCTTTGTTTTTGCTTAGTTTACCACGGTAAGGCACCTTTTTTTTGGTAAAGGGCACTTAAGATGGGATATCTTTGTCGCTTCTACTTTTCATTTTAATGACTATGAACAGAAATAACAATGTGCACTATAGCTGGATAATATCTTTGGTTTAACTTTGTTGCTTTATAACTTTACCCTTCCTTTAGTTTTAATACTTGGATCTGAGGCTTATATATTTCAAGCGATTCGACTCTCAAGCAGTATTTAGCTCACTCCTATTTTCTTACATACGTACCCCTTCTACATTTTGTTCTCACTGGGCCTTATTAAATAATGGTAATAGCGACCTTGGCGTGTACCAAGCATAAGATAGATAGATAGATAGATAGATAGATAGATAGATAGATAGATAGATGAACTTTATTGATCCCAGTCAGGAAATTTTAGTTTCACAGCAGTAGTTCAACATTCACAGAATGTCAAAAAGACAAGGTGCAAAATTTCCGTATTTGACATGACTAAATATAAATATAACTATATGTGCTCAGATGGGTATGAATATAATATGAGAAAAATAAATAATTAATTGACAATTATTGCAGCTGCAATTACTATTAAGTACTATTAGTGGTGGGAATTTTACATTTGTATTGCTGTGGGCAGGAAAGACTTCCTGTATCTGTCCTTACTGGAGACTGGAGCTGAACCAGTCTGTTGGTGCTCTGAAAGTGCTCTGCTGTCTGTCCACCAGATGGTGGTGAGGGTGGTCATGATTGTCCATGATGGATAAGAGCTTATTCAGCCCCCCCCCACCACCACCACTTCCAAAGGGTCTGGTTTGCAGCCCAATGACGGAGCCAGCTTTCTTAATCAGCTTGTTCAGTCTGTTGCAGTTTTATATTGTTATATTGTTTCCTAGTGCTGCCACATACTGGTGAGATTTAAAGCTTCACCAGGAAAATGTGTAAAGGTACATTCTGATATAAAACTGTGCACACCTGAAGGCCATGTTCACTTTATAAATCACTCTCCACCTGCAGGCATGCATCGGTGGATCATCCTCATATTCCGCCCTCTTCGCGCCCACATTCAACCATAAATGGTCAATGCAAATTCATTTCAATTCAATTTTATTTGTAGAGCGCCAAATCATAATACACATTATCTGCTCTAGCAGAACCAGGCTCCACCAGTACGCCAGTGTGTGTGTGTGTGTGTGTGTGTGTGTGTGTAAGCGAGTGTGTGAGTGCTGACTACTCTCCTTGACCTTGCTTTTTCTTATTTTTCCTTTTTTTTCTGTTCTATTTCTACTTTATACTACTTCTGAGTAGGGA